GAGAAGTTAACTTCAAAGACTCATCAAACACTATCAACAAGAAAGAGGAATCACCATCCTCACAATAACAACAAGATAACAAACATGAAAGACAAACAACTCAGGATGCATTCTACTGATCACAAAGTAGAATATATCAAGACATGCTCATAAGCAAAGAGTTCACATTCACACAGTAGCAACTACATGCCACAGTGACAACTACATGTCACAAGTATCACAGTTCCAACAATATGCCTGTTCCAACCTTATGGCTACCCTCGGCCTTATTTCGGTTCCAACCATTACCTCCTAGTGTCACCTTGTACTTCTGAGTCCAACCTTTTTGCCTCCGGGGACCGTCGTCCCCCCACCTACACTCCTATTCACCGCCGAACTCTCAGTACACGAGGGTATCATTAAATATCATATCACAAAACCGCCAAACTCGTGAGCAAAGCTCAAGTAACAAACCACCAATCTCAATCATAATCACACACAAGGTCATCATCATTACCAAGAAGACTAAGACTCAACAATAGTCTTAATCAAGTATCAACAAAGGTACAACGATTTACATACGATCATATCATAGGAATCAACCAAGAGACCACAATAAAGACATGAGACCATACTCAATCTACAAAGGATTCCAATCCAACACCAAATGATTGTCAACACAAATTGGCAATCTCAATACGAAGGAACAAACCACACATACTAGCATATCAACATCAAACTAGCATGCTTATCAAATGGGTAAACCAAAATTAGTTCCAAAGAACTTTCAAGACTCACATTAGCCCAACGAATCACAAAGTTGGACCCTTAGCACGATTCAAGACACCAAACCCTACATGGATTCCTAACATACCGTTCTAGACATACGAAACATTAAGAAGACTCAAAAATAGCCTAATAAAACAACATCGGGAGGTTAAAACATCAATACCGAGGCAAAAGAATCAACGGGGAACAAATCCCCGCTAACAACCAACCATGTTCCCCGCGGGTGGGGCGGCGGGTAGGCCTCTGCCCGCCGTTCCGCCCGCGGGTACACCCCTGTACACCAAAATTTCCCTTCGGGGATTTTCAACAATAAGGCCAAGTTCAAGTCCAAAACACCCAAAATCTCACACACAACAACAATATGACTTGAACCCAAGAAATAGCCAAGCAATGGCATTCAAGAACCCTAAGAACAAGCTCTAAACATGCAACACCACAAGACAATGCATCAAATCTCACAAATCAACACAAGAATCACAAGTAGAAGCCAAGAATCATCATATAAATAAGAAAATAGGTTTTGTAAATCATGGGTTACCTTTGTAGCCTAATAACTTCCTCTTTTCACCATTAAAAAACCTTTCCTAGAGCTCCTCTTCCACACCAACTTCATACACAAACCAAAACACAACAAAGATCTTATCTTTAGAAAAAGACACCTAAAAGAAGGTTAAAAACATCAAAGGACCAAGGATCTTACCCTCCCCTATGCTCAAAATGAAGAAACTAGGAATCTTGGGAGACAAACTTGCAAGACTTGGATGCTCAAATTCTAGCTTGGAGAAGAAGCTAAACCATTTTAGAGAGAGGCTAGAGGTTTTGAATTTTAGGTTGAAGGGTGAATGAAATGAAAGAGTATTGCTAGGTTAGCTTGAATCACAAACCTTAGGTAGAAAGAATGTCTTACCCTTACTAATGTTGGAAAGACAAGGGAACAAGGGTACAACTCAAGAAGCACAAGGTACAACCCTTTGACTTAAGTGACTAGTCAAAATATAGTCCCTCGACTATTAAATTTCAGGATTTTTAGGAATATATTAGCAAAGAGACTTGGATTAATTCCTTAATTAATCCCTGATTAGTGTTTGGATTTACGGGGTGTCACAGTTTATGTCTATCAAAATTTAATTTTACTCCGTAAAAATGTATATATTTCCTTGATTTTGTGGACATATGTGATATGGTGATTTTATGGTGATTAAAACGGAAAAAAAAATCATACTCAACTTGATTATTGCCTGAGAAAATTCTGACTAGCACAGCTGGAAAGAAAAATTCGTGAAAAATGCTTCTTAAATTTAGTTTTGCTTGAATTTTTTTTTTTTGGAGAACCTAGACTTGTTATATTTGATGTTTGTAAAAAATTTTGGTTAAAAATATTTCTCGGTATTTCCAGAATATTTCGTAAACTTGAGGCAGTGTACTGCTAGTTTAATATTTCTGTCTGGCCCAGTGTTGGGGAAAATTTCGGGAAAAATACTTTATGACCTTGGATTGGTTTGAAACTTTTTGTCTATAATATAGACTCACTTTACCTCTTATCTGGAAAATTTCATATGAAAATGTGTTACCGATTTTTCTCAGTAAATTCTGCAATTCAGGTCATACATTCTAAAAATTTATCTCAGTTTCTTATTTGAGGTGTTGAGAATTTGCTTGCTTGAGAAATATTGTTAAACAATGAACTCAACTTCTATATTTCTATATGTTCTGTGTAGATGTACAAGGAAGTGTATGGCTATTTATACCAGACAAGAACTAATCCTAACCATAGATTTCAAACACCTAAACGTAAGGCTAAGAGAGATCCTCTCAACTAACACCCTATTCCTCTAACACTCCCCCTCAAGTTGGAGCATCCAGCTTGTTACATATATATCACATGAACCTTAGGACTCCACACCTAGACTCATAACTTCCAAGGCTAACGCCCAAGTCTTGAACCACTCGAACAACCTTCGAACCACGCTGTGCCAAACTAGTCCACAACGCACCTTGTCGCACCAACAACGCTTCTACGAAGACAATAAAACCTAGGCCAATCACCACAGCGCCGCACCTGCCTCTCACACCCCACACCCTTATCACCGCTGCCTAACACCACAGCATACCTGGCACTCACTCCACAAACCATTAGCGCTGCTAGACCACAGTGCACCTGTCCCTCTCACCGCACACCCTTATCAATGTTGCCTAAGACCACAGCGTTTCCCTGGTTCATGCAAGTAAAATGATTCACTCTGAATCGTTCTTCAGCCGTCAGCCTCCCCCCGCTGCATATGCCAGGTCTGCCCCACTCCTAACACCTGTGCAGCCCACTCCTGCAGCACCCCTATTTACGCACACTGAACAAGCTGCACTTGACTCAACTCAGACCCTAGAATCGCTCCCATACCAAATTAACTTAAAACGAGCGACAAACTATGACAAACCAAACACAAAGCTCAAGACTTATTAATACGATAAGCAAAAGAACCTACTGCCTAATTATTCCTCGTCAACAGCACAAACCTAACCACACATTATGCTTCCAATTAATTTCCAGAAGCATTCATCAACTAGACCTCCACGCCATTTTATTTTGTAGCCATGATAACACCCAGCTTCATGGACCTCCCCTACCATCTCTCTCGGCTGTCTCTCTCTCTCGGCTATCTCTCTCTCGATAAGCAACAATCTATAATATTCGCAGCTGGAATTTTTGCACCACTTACGCAGCAGGAGATGAAGACATCGCAGCCACAAAAAATCTCCTCAACACCGGGCTACACCACCACTGCAGATGTGTCGGGCGTACCAAGACGACCCCAATAGTGCAAGCCGCGACCAGAGAAGACGTCGGACCAGTGCGGACGCGCCGGCGCGTGGCGTCGGAACCCTAGGACTGCGCCGGATTTAACAATGAACTCAACTTGTATATTTCTATATGTTCTGTGTAGATGTATAAGGAAGTGTAAGGGCTATTTATATAAGACAAGAACTAATCCTAACCATAGATTTCAAACACCTAAACCTAAGGCTAAGAGAGATCCTCTCAACTAACACTCTAATCCTCTAACAAATATCAATGGTGGAGGATAAAGGAAATTGATTCTTAAGACTTGTGTAGTATCCTGTTGTGAAATTCTGGATATTTGGGCTGTGACCCAGTTTGTTGAGGAGTGAACAATTGAAATATACTGATTCACTTGGGAACCTAAAAACTCCCTGTTATTTTGAGGAGTGGGCAGTAGAAACTGATAAACATTATTTTTATTGTTTTTTTTAAATCTTTTTATAGTTAATTTGTAATAGTTAGTTAATTTTTATATCTAATTTTATTTACTATTGCTATAAGTAGTTTTTATTAATATTATTAATTTGTGGGGTTGTTTTTATTATTAAATTAGTTTTTTTATTTTGTTATAAGATTTGTCAATCCAATAATCTCTTAATCAATGTTATTATTATTATTATTAATAGGATAGTTTAGTAGTGACTAAATAGCTGGCAACAATAGTATGTGGCGACAAATAAGGGGAGAATAACGACTGAAGAGGGAGACCGCTTCCGACGATGCGATGCGAATTTTCGATTGATCAGCGATAGCTCAGAGACGCAGTTGGGAGCCCGAACACTATAAAAAAATAAAAAATAAATAAAAAAAAAGCCATTCCAAAGAAGAAATCATCAGTTTTCACCCCGGAGCAATTCCGAAGGCGATAAACGAAGGAGCGTGTAACAACCCTGGAGGGTAGAAAGGAAAAAGAAGCTCAGAAAGGTGAAATTGGACACAGGGAGATTAGCCACAGAGAACTGATTATTTTGCAAAGTTGAAAGACTGAGGCGGTGTCGTTTGAAGGAGGGCGGTTGATAGCCGTTACAACTTATTTACGTGACGTCGTTTGAAGGGAAGGTTAAAGAGTCATTATAATTAGAAGGAGACGGTGCCGTTTGTGTGAAGGATTAAAGAATTGCTCAGTTTTGTCTTTTCTCAGCTGGACAAGGAAGGTGGAGCTGGGAATCCGGAGGAGGTTATGAAGATTTTTTTATCCATTAGCTAGATTTGCTTTATGTTTTTGTTTTTGGAAAAAGTAAAGATTCATGTGTAATTTTGCAGACAATCAACCCTATTTTCTTCCCTAAAATCCTATCAACTCTTCTTCAATTTTTCTTCTGTTCTTTGCCCCTATTTCTGCCTTTTTTTTTCTGCTTGAGTTCCAGGTTTGTGACATTTGGTATCAAAGCCCACCATGGGTACCCAGTCCATAGCTTCAGTAGAAGATAGGCTAAGCCGACTTGAAGCCTTCGCTATGGAACATAGCAGTGGGTTGACAGCCATTCAGCAGTCTGTTGATGATACTGTCCAGGGTCTGAAGTCTCATATGGAAGCATGGAAGGACGAGATCCTAGAGCTTTTGAGGTTAAACAGGCCACCACCTCCACCAGTCATGGACCCCCCTCGGTTCATGGTCAAGCTCAGACTCCACACCAAGCCCAGGAGAAGGAGCCTCAGGTCTAGGGAGAAGGCCAGGAAAAGAACCTGTGGTAGATGACAACATAGAGATTTCTGAGGAAGAAGAAGAACAAGCTGACCATGTGCCTGCCTTTCCAGGGGATCCTAGAGATGGTGAGAGGCCATGGGCTCCAGGGAGAGCCAATCCAGTGGGCAGGAACTTGCATCACAACCAAGGAGGTGACCCCCTACTAAGGTATAAGCAAGAATTCCCTACTTTTGATTATGAACACCCTAGGCTGTAGATAATAAGGTGTGAGAGATTCCTTATAATGGCTAGAATACCTAGGGATGAGGTGATCAATGTGTTGTGCATTAATTTAACTGGAAGGGTTGGGATCTAGTTTGAGAGTTATCTGAATGGCTTAAGAAGGGGATTTCAGTGGGCTGACTTTGCAAAATCAGTGTGTAAGAGATTCTGTGAGCACAATACTGATGTAATGGAGGAATTTGCAAGCTTCAAACAAGTAAGAAATGTCACTGACTTTGCTGATAAATATGAAGAGTATAAAGGCCTGTTGCTGCAAAATTTTCGCTACCTTACTGATCAATACTTCCTAGACAATTTCATAATTAGACTCAAACAACAGTTGAGATGCTTTGTGAGAGCATCAAGGCCTGTTAGTCTTGAGGATGCTATGTGGCTAGCAAAGCAGTTTGAGAGAGGGTTGAAGGTGCAAGAACCTCAGAAGATCACTCACTACTCCCAGAAACCAGCCTACACTACCCAAAAAAACCAAACCTTCACAAAACCTATTAATCCCAGAAACCCTGACCCCCACAGAACCCAAAGTAACCCAAACATTCCCAAAACCTCAGCCTCAAACACCTTCCAGTCCAATGCCAGATCACCAGAAATTAACAGATTCAGGGATCAATTGAGAGAGCAGAATAGGTAGGGTTGTCAATTTAGCCCGAACCCGATGGGCCAACCCGATAAAAACCGAAACCGACAGGGCTATGGCCCGAACGGGCTAGCCCGATAAAACACATTAGCCCGACGAGCCCGATACCCGATAGGGCTAGCCCGAAATTAAAAGGGCTAGCCCGACAACCCGAACTATTGAAAATTATTTTTTATTATAAAAGTGATGTGAAACCTAACATACATAAAATAATTATTATAATTAAAAAGAAATAAATAAATAAATAAATATATATATATATATATATATATATATATATATATATATATATATATATATATATATATATATATATATATATATATATATATATATATATATATATATATATATATATATACACAACAAGCATTACTAATATATATTTCTACTCTAAATATGAGTACTCACTTTCAGTTTCTAATTTTAGTTCAGATTGTTCAACCCACCCGATTAGCCCGACAACCCGAAGTTTAGGGTTAGGGCCAAACCGAACCCAAGAATAAAATATTAATTAACCGATTAGCCCGACAACCCGACAGGGTTAGCCCGAAACCGAGTGGGTTGGCCCGATTGACATCCCTAAGAATAGGTGTTTCAGGTGTTTTGAACCTTGGAACCCTGGACACAAGTGCAAGGGTCCCACCTTTAACATAATTGAAGAAGCTGATCTCCAAGAAAATGAAGAGGAAATCAGTGGGGACCAACATGAGGGGGAGGAAACACAAGATAGGCCTGAAACAGAAGAGATAGAGGTGACCTTAAGTGCTGTGATTGGTGGTGAGGGGATGAATACCATCAAGCTGAGGGGAACCATTAACAGGCAGCCAATCACCATACTGGTAAACAGTGGGAGTACACATAGCTTCATAGATCCCAAAGTATTAGCTCGATTAAGGATTGTTCCAAAGGAGGCAAGACCCCTTAAAGTTACAGTGGCCAATGGTGTAACACCCCTGATTTTCAAGACATTTAAAACTTAATAATAAAGGTAATATCTCATTAAATCCCAGAGTGTAACATAAGTGTGCGGGGTGCTATGCCACACCTGGGCTAGAGAACCCAGGTGCACAGGCTATCTAACTACTATCCTCTGAAATATAAATGCATAACATGGCACGCAGGCCGAAAGGGAAACTATACTACTTCTACGCTCCAGTTCTAGCGCGCTCCAGTGCTCTAATCCTCTGTGCCTGAAAGCCAAATATATCTGTTCAGCGAGAGATGCTGGTAACCCACTCCAACGCGTTGAAATACAATACATATAGAGATATATATAGATATACGAAAACCATTTTGAGCATGAAGATATACCCTACGAACTCTAGCTTTAAAACCGGGAATGACTCGACAGATAAGGCCAGACACAAGCACAGTTATAACGAGCATATGCAGTTCACAACAGATAAGGCAGATAAGGCAAAGCATAAACAATGATCATAACCCAGCATGAACAATCCCCAATATAAATCCCATAGTCACATTTCTCCAAGGCACTCATAATCACAGCTCATCCATATTACAACACATAGCACACTTTGTTGGCGCCACAGGACCAATCGCATGCCCATACATGAGGGTCAGCGCATATAGCTCTGACACGGCCCCGCAGCACCCTGCCCCGTATCGCAACACGGAGGGGTCGATCGCAACCGACCGATGAACCGCAGCTCATCATAATGTTTGATCGCAATCAAACAGTGGACCGCAGCCCAAGAGAGTGTATTGTCTGACTGTAGCCAGGAATTCCCATCTGACTACAGCCAGCCTCTGAACCGCAGCTCAGGAAAGATGTCATCTGATTGCAGCCAGGAATTCCCATCTGACTACAACCAGCTTCTGGACCGCAGCCCAGGATACCGTCATCCGACTATAGCCAGGAATTCCCATCTGACTGTAGCCGGCTTCTGAACCGCAGCTCAGGATAACCAATCCGATCGCAACCGAATTGGGGCAACACGCACACATAACACATAGCAAGCACATACAACCCACATTACATGTTGGGAAGGGGAAGAAAGCGTATAACAAAACCTATGCGTGATCCATCACATACTAAGAATAGTCCTAAGGGGTTCATACTTCTTCCACCTAGGTCAACGGGATACCAATTCAACTAGCATGCAATATAATAGACTCATAGACCTACGAACGGTACCCGAAACGTCAAACTAGACATAGGCACGACAAGCGGGGTCCGTTGGGACGCCACGGGGATCGGGGAAACATCAAACGGGGAAGCCGGGATCCCGGGTGGGGACAAATTCCAGCGGGTAGCCGGTGGGTGGTGGTCCACCCGCCGGCTGCCCGCCGGCTGCCACTGTTCCGGGCAGCGGGTGCCCGGCGGGCAGCTGCCCGCCCGCCGGCTGCCCGCTGCCGGGCTGCCCGAGAACGCCACGGGTAGGTGGCGGGTCCCCTACCCCCACCTACCCCCCACTGACTCTTTTCACCACTTTTCGTCCCGGAAACCGTTGTGGAACCCGAAACCATGCTTAGACACTTTACAACGCAATTAATGACAACACGTAGACAATTAACGGATCAAATACGAGAACCGTACGGCACATAATCTATCATGCTTTTCTAAACATAATCAACACCCAAACATGCGAATTCCCACCCGACAATCCAAGAATAAGATCATACGATACAACCTAGGGTTCTAATCACTTTTATATCAACAAGAATACGACTCATCTTCTAATTGCAAGATTCGGTAAGAATAATACATAACATCAAGGATGCCAATTAATCATCAAGAACATCATAATCATCAAGAACAACACATAATCATTAAAATCCCAATTAATCATCAAGAACATCATAATTATCAAGAAACTCCCAACATCAAGATTATCAAGATTCCCCATGGAATCATCAAATCAACATCAATAATAATCACCATAATTTCACCATTCACAATAATATGGGGGAAACCCTAAGGGGAAATCATAGCTATGAAAATAGGTTTTGTTGAGACATGGGTTACCTCTTAGCCTTAATTAATTCCTTGGCTATGAAGGATCTTTCTTTAAGCTTTCTTGCTTTCTTGATTTCTTCTAAGGGGATTCTTGGAGCTCTCCTGGGGTGATGGGCGTTTATGCGTGTGGGGGTTCTGGGTGTCTCCTAAGTTCTTTATTTATATATTTAAGACTCCTAATTAGGGCCTGAATGGTAAGGGTTTACTAATCCTATTCCTTATAGGATTCAGGAACTCGCTTTAGGGATAAGGGTCCATATTAATTAGAGCGGATCCTAATTGCAATCTGAATAGTAAAAGGTTTACTATCTTTATTCCTAATAGGCTTAAGCCTTCTAATTTAGGCAAGGGTCTACGGTTCATGGTGGACCCCATTAATTAATTAAAGGGGAACTTAACTTAATTAATCATATTTAATTATTATTAGCGGGATTAATTAAATAATTAATTCAGGATTAAAGGTCGTAACACGGGGTGTTACAAATGGTGAGAGTATGACTTGTGATTCCATTTGCTGTGGGCTGAAATGGCAGGTTCAGAATGAAGTTTTTGTAAAAGATTTGAGGGTGTTTAAGCTTGGGGGTTGTGACATGGTTCTAGGGGTGGATTGGGTTGACTCATATGCCCCAATCCAACTCTACACCAGACCTCCAGGAATTTCATTTCATAAGGATGGAAGGAAAGTTTTATTGAAAGGGATGACTAAGGGAATTGCATTACAGCAAGCTACTAAAAGGGAGGTGAGAAGGTGGAAGAAGGAGGGAGTACAAGGTTATTTGTTGCAAGGCATGGTTCACAATCCCATTAAGGACTACCCTAGGGATCAAGCAGATACAGTAAGTCCTGAACTGACTGAGATCCTAGCAGAATTTCAAGACTTATTTGAAGAGCCCAAAACACTCCCACCTAAGAGATCTCTTGATCATGAGATTCCACTAGTGCCAGGAGCTAAACCCATTAATTCCAAACCTTACAGATACTCCTTCTTACAGAAGAATACCATAGAAAGGATGGTTGAGGAAATGCTGGCAGCAGGAATCATTTCCCACAATTCTTCCCCTTTTGCATCTCCAGTCCTGTTAGTGCCTAAGAAGGATAATACATGGAGATTTTGCATAGACTATAGGGCACTGAATGGTATAACTATTAAGAATAAGTTCCCCATTCCTTTGATTGAGGATTTGTTCTCTGAATTAGCCCATGCCAAGGTCTTCACTAAGCTGGACTTGAGGGCTGGGTATCACCAGGTCAGAATGAAGGAGGATGAGGAATATAAGACAGCATTCAGAACACACCAGGGATTATATGAGTTTAAGGTCACGCCCTTTGGATTGACAAATGCCCCAGCCACCTTTCAAGCCCTTATGAACCTAGTGTTCAAGCCTTTGATCAGAAAGACAGTCCTGGTATTTTTTGATGACATATTGGTTTACAGTCCAACCTTGCAGAAGCACTGGGAGCATCTTAAGGAGATCCTAAGGATCATGAGAGACAATAAACTGTTAGCCAAGCTTAGTAAGTGCTCTTGTGCCAAAAGGGAGGTTGAATACCTAGGACATATCATCTTTGAGAAGGGTTTGCACACTGACCCTACTAAGCTGTCTGCTGTGGCATCTTGGCCTAGACCAGCTAACCTGAAGGAGTTAAGAGGATTTTTGGGTCTCACAGGCTATTATAGAAGATTTATCAGATCTTATGGCATTCTCAGCAGGCCACTCACTAACATGTTAAAGAAAGATGCATTTCAGTGGTGTGAGGAGTCTGAAACTGCCTTTGAAACTCTAAAGCAGACCTTGTGTAGTGCACCAGTTTTGACCTTGCCTGACTTTGATAAAGAATTTGTAGTTGAAGCTGATTCCTGCTATAAGGGTATGGGGGCAGTATTAATGCAGGAAGGGAAGCCAATAGCCTATTTTAGCAAGGGGTTTGGAGCCAAACACTTGGGACTGTCCATCTATGAAAAAGAGTGCCTCTCTATTATAAATGCAGTGGACAAATGGAGATCTTACCTGATTGGGAGGCCATTCATTATCAAAACAGATCACCAAAGTCTGAAGTTTCTATTAGAGCAGAAGATCACCACAGCTATGCAACAGAAAGGGCTTACTAAGTTATTGGGACTTAATTATACTATTCAGTACAAGCAAGGAGTTGGCAACTGTGTTGCTAATGCGTTGTCTAGGAAGATGGAAATTAACCAAGCTGAACACTTGGCCATTTCTACTGTGAGGCCATTATGGATAGAGGAAGTCATCAAGAGTTATGAGGAGGATGATTTAGCCTCCAAGGTTCTAACTGAGCAGCTAATCACAGCTGAAGAAGCATCTCTGTTTACTGTGGTTGATGGGCTGATCAAATACAAGGGCAGGCTGTATATTGGGCAAAAGGGGGACCTGAGGAGCAAGCTCTTACTGCAGTTGCATAACTCTCCCATAGGTGGCCACTCAGGCCAACAGGTAACCTACCATAGGCTCAAACAGCTATTCTACTAGAAGGGCATGAAGAATGAAGTGATAGCAGCCATACAGGCTTGTGATGTTTGCCAAAAATGCAAAGAAGAGAATGTAGCTTACCCTGGGTTGTTGCAACCTTTAAAAATTCCAGAGCAAGCTTGGCAGAGCATATCAATGGACTTCATTGAGGGGCTACCAGTGTCACAAGGAAAGGAGGTTATCATGGTGATTGTTGACAGGTTTACCAAGTACAGTCACTTTCTAGCATTATCTCATCCTTATACTGCTGAGAAGGTAGCTAAGGTATTCATGGAACATGTTTATAAACTCCATGGACTTCCCAAGGATATTGTGAGTGACAGGGACAAGGTCTTTGTGAGTAAATTTTGGAAGAAATTACTCAATCAGTTGCAGGTGAGCCTAAGCATGTCCTCAGCCTACCATCCTCAGTCAGATGGTCAAATAGAAAGGGTTAACAGATGCTTAGAAACTTACTTGAGGTGTATGGTATTCCACAAGCCCAAGTCATGGGCCAAGTGGCTCCACTTAGCTGAGCATTGGTACAACACCAATTACCATTCATCCTTGCAATGTTCACCTTTCCAAGCTCTCTATGGTTATCTACCCCTATCGTTGACCTTTGATTTAGTGACAGAAGGGGAAGGCAATGAGTGGTTCAAGGAGAGGGCCTCCATGGTAGCTATTCTCAAGGAAAACCTCCAGAAAGCCCAATCCAGAATGAAGCAACAGGCAGACAAACAAAGAAGTGAGAGGAGTTTTGCAATGGGTGATTTTGTGTACCTCAAAATACAACCCTACAAGCAAGTGTCCCTGGCTGTTAGGTCCAGTGTTAAGCTCACTGCAAGATTCTATGGTCCATTCAAAGTTATGGAAAGGATTGGGGAAGTAGCCTACAGATTGGAATTACCTGTTGGGACTGCTATACATCCAGTATTTCATGTATCCCAATTAAAGAAAAGGGTTGGAGAAGGAGTAATTCCACAGTCTACCCTACCCCTCACTGATCCTGAAGGGATGGTGTTGGCTCAACCATTAGCAGTCATAGGCAAAAGGCTTATCAAGAAGAAGAATTAGGCTGAAGTTGAGATCTTGGTACAGTGGGCGAATCTACCCAAAGAGGCAGCAACCTGGGAAAACTACCACCACATCACAAAGCAGTTTCCGGAATTTGATCCTTGGGGACAAGGATCCCTTGAAGGAGAGGGAAATGTAACAACCCTGGAGGGTAGAAAGGAAAAAGAAGCTCAGAAAGGTGAAATTGGACACAGGGAGATTAGCCACAGAGAACTGATTATTTTGCAAAGTTGAAGGACTGAGACGGTGTCGTTTGAAGGAGGGCGGTTGATAGCCGTTACAACTTATTTACACGACGTCGTTTGAAGGGAAGGTTAAAGAGCCGTTATAATTAGAAGGAAACGGTGCCGTTTGTGTGAAGGATTAAAGAATTGCTCTGTTTTGTCTTTTCTCAGCTGGACAAGGAAGGTGGAGCTGGGAATCCGGAGGGGGTTATGAAGATTTTTGGATCCATTAGCTAGATTTGCTTTATGTTTTTGTTTTTGGAAAAAGTAGAGATTCATGTGTAATTTTGCAGACAATCAACCCTATTTTCTTCCCTAAAATCCTATCAACTCTTCCTCACTTTTTCTTCTGTTCTTTGCCCCTATTTCTGCCTTTTTTCTACTTGAGTTCCAGGTTTGTGACAGAGCGACGGACAATCGGTTCTGTTCTTTTGCAGTTCGGCGGCTGGCAAATTTCGTTCGGTGGTAGCTTAAAGCCTGGGTGGTAACCAGATTTCTTTGGCAGCAGGAATTCATTTTGGCGAGCAACAATAGGTTAAGCAGATCGAGGCATTACTAGGCAGTAGAATTATCCCTGGTTCGTCTTCCGTTTTCTTAATTTGTTGTCCGTATTGACAATCCTTTAATAACAACGTTGTGAACTGTGTACTGTAGTGAAATGCTTAATGCTTGATTAAGATATTAAGTATATTGTTTAATGCTTATTTTAATGATATTACTCTTAGGTGATTTTCTTTTGGTTGCGGAATAAATAGTTAGAAATATTGATATTAGCTGCCATTTATAGTTGGTTCATGTTCATAGGCTTTTCATTTTTGCATGTTAACTTGGCTTTCTATTTCCCGATAATTCATTACTTTAGCTTCCTGAATTTCAATCATTTTGCATTTAAGTTATCTTAATATTTGATTTTCATTTCATACTTTAAATTGTCAAGCTCGTGATATTTTCTTGTTGCCATCTCATTTCGTTATTATTTTGTTATATTTACTTGCCTTGTTTTCTACATGCTTTTTCATTTAGTTTAATTAATCTTGATTTTTAATTGGTTATGAGCACTTTGAATTAATAAGTCAATTATTTTCAAGTCTTTAAATTGCACTATTACAATTCCCTGTGGGTTCGACCCTTTCTTTTGCACAATATCACTACAATCGACTCGTGCACTTGCGAGGACAAAAATATTAAAATTATCCATCAGAAACATATCATGTCTCACTAGGACTTTTAGTCTTGTTATTTTGAGGAGTGGTTAGCGGAGTCTTCCACTAGGGTATCTACCCTGTTGAGTAGTAGTCGGTAGAAATGTATCCTGACTACTAGGACTAGTTACTACCCATTGAGCTTGGAAACCCATTCGGGGTGTGCACACTTAAGGTATTAGTTCTGTTCCACTTAAATGCGATTTTTGCGTAGTGTTCAGTAGAGTGAGTACTGTTCACTAGGGCTTATTGAATAAGACACTGCCCATTATTTGGTTGGTTTAAATGGGATTTCTGCGTAGTGTTCAGTAAAGTTAATACTGTTCACTAGGGCTTAAATAATTAAGACCCTACCCATTATTTGAGATTGAATGGGATTATGTGTAGAGTTCAGTAGGATTATTACTGTTCAGTAGGGCTTGATGAAACAAGACCCTGCCCATTGCATTGACATTGGTGTTCCTCCATGTTGGAAAAAAATATATTACTTTTGAAATGTTCCTAAAATTCCTACTGTGAGAAATATTGATTTGGTAGTATTGATGAAAATAAAAATGTTTAAGGGGTCATTCTAGATGCAAACTATCTGCTTCTATGTGATATATGCTATGTGCAAAATGTTTTACGGGGTGAAGTAGTTCTTACAAGCTTAATGCTGAATTTGTGTGTTTCTTTGTTTTCTATTCTTTTATTATTTTTGCAGGAACTCTTGCAAGAGCATTGGGAATGAGAATGAGCGAACCACCTAGAGAATTTATCATTTACTAGTTAGTTTGATTGTTAGTTGTTTTTGTACTAGTACGTACCTTGAGTTGTTTTAGCCTATGCGTTTGGGTATAGGTAGATACCTGAGCGTGGCGGTAACACCCATTTCTGTTTCCTTTAGTTTTATATTCGCTTCCGCAATTGTATTGGTTATTCAAAACAAAAAAAAAAAAATGTATGTATTTTCAGAAGTTTCTCTGGTTTTGAAATGGGGGTGTTACATATAGTTTCTTTTATTATCTTCTTTGTTATGTTCTTTCCCCGTACACTCTTACACATACCACCTACACTCATTGCATCTAGTTTTCTCTTGTTAATGCACTGTGATACATGATTGTCTTGCACTCTATTTACTCCAACTTGCCATCCTTGAGTTCGACACTCAAGAATTCCATCCTCGTTTACACTTTCCATCCTATTCCACCCCACTACACTACAAGTGGATGTAAAAATCCATCTGTCACCAACGTACGTGGGAGGCCGCATGGAGATATAAGTGGCCGCCCAACGCGCTCGTCCAACGCACGTTGGACGGGGCATTAGGCGGGATCTCCTCAAAGGCGCGGAAATTGAAGTATAAAAGGGGGAAAATTCATCATTTGGAGGGGACTCATCATTCTTATTAGACTACTCCTGAAATTGTATAGCTAGGTAGGAACCCTAGAGAGAGAAACTTTAGATTGGCTAGAAATTGAAGAGGAATTCCACAATTGAAGATTGGGTTTTGCAATTGCTTGGTATTTTCTTCCTTTATATCATTTCATACTTTTGCTTTCCTATTTCAATTACTTGTCTCTTTTGAATCTACTCATGATTAGAAGTATATTGTTGTTCACTATGTTAGAGATTAGCTAAACATCTTTGATTGGATTGTGATCCTTGGATTCATGGCATTCTAAGTTGTAAGATTAGGAATTGAGAGGATGTATTGATGAATTGACTTGCTATGTGTTGAGTTTGATTGCATTGATCTTGTTTAATTGGTGGCTACAATTGGGCAAGAGTTTAGAAAGGAGAGATGTGTAAGAGATTACCATTTCTACCTAGTTTAGAGACTCACCGTGTAACACCCCCCAAACAAGATCTATATAAAAGCCTTAACACATGCAGATTAAGCGACAAAACTAGCACAGCGGAAGATAAAAACGAAACTGGATAAAAAGAAATCCAACGGGGTGTCACGCCACGTCTACCAAACACGGTAAACGCTACGGCAAACAATCTGCAAGTGTACATCTAACCCAAAACATCAGTCTAACTACATCGGCGCACAGGCTACAAAAGCAAGGATAAAGGTGCTAAGCTACCAGGCTCTAGACATCGCGCTCGTCTAAACATCACCTGAAAGATACAAAGATAAACATTGGGACGACGCCTGGTCAGCGAATAATGCTGATAACCCACCAATACCGTTAAGTATCATAAATAGATAGATATAAGTCATAAAAACCATTTTCGAAACGGAATACATACATACAATATATATATATATATATATATATATATATATATATATATATATATATATATATATATATATATATATATATATATATATAAGTCAAAACCAAGATCAACTGTCAGCACAAGACTCATCACTCTCAAGGATAACACGGGAACACATCCCAAACCACAAAGGTTAACCACACGCAAAGGATAAAGACTCACCCAACGGCAACACATGCCAAAACAACACAAGCCTCCGTGACTACACACGTCACGAGAGAAGATCACACAACGCTGGCTTTACAAG